TGGACTCTGACTGGATCACGCCCTTAATCTTGTGCAACTGTCGTTTTTGGCGGACGCAATTGTAACTGTATCTTTCTTCTTTCTTGGTTTCCTTGTGTTTGTCCGCCTTCTTCGTCTTCTTCCTCGCCTCGCATACTCTGTTCTAATTGGTCGGAACGCCTGCATGACCGGATTGATCAGCGGAGTGTGACTACGACCCCCACGTCGCGGCCTGACCATGTAGACGTAGGCACTTCCTCTTTTCTCCTCTTATCCACCTAGCCTTAATCCCGTGCCTTTCGTGCAGGCATGCATGTTATAAATTCCGCAAGCGTGATTAGTTTCCTCTCTAAGAATTTGGAGGTTAGCGCGATCAGTGAGGGTCGGCTAACGAGCAAGTTTGGAAGGTGAGTGAGTGTGAGAGTTGGGCGATCCGACGAGCTGGTGTCGGGTATGCGGGGTTGACATGCGGGGCCACGACAGACTGTGGCGCACGAGCGAACCTGGCTTGCATGCTCGAACCAAGCGGGGTGACAACTCTGTGTTGATGCGAGGCGACGGACTGCCCGCAACGGGAGTGCGAAGAGAGAGAGAGAGAGAGAGAGAGAGAGAGAGAGAGAGCAGTTGTGTGGGTGTGGGATAAGGTTCTTTTCGTTGTTCCTTCTTTTCCTCTGTTCATCTGTATAATTTTGGCGTCTGCTATGGTCGATTTTATCGCGGCCTTTTTTTTGGACTTCTTTTGTAAATCGTCCCTGATTTTCCTTGTCGTTTGTATTTTGTATGTATGCATGGAATGAATGCGAGTCCCCTTTATTAGCGATCTTTTCGGATTTTCAATCTCGTTTTGCGATGTCCGGTTCGACTATGTCTACCGCTCACTTGCGTGAGCTATACGCCCAGATATGATTGAAAGCGCTCGATTATGGATGTTTTGGTTTAGTCAGTAACTTTTGATCGACAAGAGTGCTATAAGAAATTGACGATCCCTGCTCTTCTTTCCTCCAATTTTTGTCAACCGGATCTCACCCGACGCCGCAGGAATAGGGTATCTGCATGCATGTTGAATGCGATCGACCCGCTGAACCAACCCGCTGTTTCTCACGTGCACGCTCGTGTACCACCACGATCTCGAGGAAACGGAGTCGCTACGTACGCACTCGCCTGCGTGAGTCAGCCTGGAACTCCGCACGAGGATGCAGGGGACCGAGCTTTCCAAACGGATATGGCTGCGGAATTTCCCTTTTGGATGTCCGATCGTGAGAGTCCGAGGGACCCTTGGGAAGGTGAACAACTCAGGCGGCGGGGGAACTTAAAAAATCCGAAATTCCCCTGTCTGACAGAAAGCGATCGATTGTGTGCGAGGAACTTTCACTGTGCCATAACGAACGATCCTAGGGGCCCCGATTACCCGGATACTTATAACACGCAGTATTTCATAACCCCCGGTTTCGTCGTTATGACTACCAGTGTCCCTCCCTTCCACCTCCTATATCACCAACTCACGGTGGTGCCATGGAATTCCATAGCCCGCTATTGGCCCCGCATACTGTGCGAAAGGTGTCGGCGGCACTAGCCCTATCGACCCTTGGAGTTCGCTCAGCGAACCCGCACTGAAGCCGAGGGGCGCCGACAATTGGTCGAACTGGGCGAACAGCCAAGAAGCCGAAACCAGAGGAGATGGTGATTCCCATTTCATTTAAGCTTGAAAATTGAGTTCGTTGGCAGGGGCAATGTTGTTGGGATTTTGCTCAAGAATGCACGTGTTAAGATCTGTCGTTACTCTGATCGTGGAAAAGTGCCCCGGATCTTTAGCCTGAGATGCACTGCGCATGCCATCTGCCTTATGCTGCATGACATCAGCAGCTTCCCTTCTATGCACACCTTCAAGTTCTTTGCGCCTATACCCCCGAAACTTGCCACAGGAGATCTCAGTTCCGACCTGGGACTCCACCCCCACTTTCCTAAAATCCTTGGCACACCCCTTTTTCGCACTTCCACGCCCCCATCCGGGCCATCCCACTCCGATCACGAAGTCACACTGGGCGTGAGGTTTGGGCGGCGATGTGGCACAAACTTACTGCATCACCATTCCAATGGGATGTAGTCCTCATATTGCTGGGGTGAAGAAAAACCTTTCCGCCCGCCTGGTCACCTTTCCAGGCAAACCACTTCAAACGCAGGAGGCTCGCCATCCTAATGGTCATATGGAGAATGAGATGCTCACAGAACACAGAACACGCCTTTGGCTTTTACCAAGCCAAGGTGGAATTGCTTGAGGTGATCCGAGCAAACCCGCAGAAAGTTATGCGAAAACTTGTGGAAGCAGTGGCGGCAACCCCGGACCAGGCAGACAAACAAAGACTGATCACGGCCTTCACACAACAATGGATAGACCCGAACCTCAAAATTGCAGAAGTACAAAGCGACGGCAAGCTAACATGGAAAAACTGGGCTGCAGAGGACCATCAATGGGTATATAGATCGGCAATGTGCTTCCCTACACCCCTCCCAGGACACCTACACCGTGCACTAGATGACGTACCACGGAGCGACGGGGAGCAGGACCTCGCC